CAATAGAAAGTCTAGACCTTACTTATTTATTCTGAATACTTATGACAGAAGTTTGAGTAGTCCTATTTGACCTAAGAATTTTTTTTATCAATTCAAAGATTTCTTTTATACATCTCTTATAGCAAAAATTGAAATGAATGCCTCTTATTTTGCCCATAAGACAGGGTTTGGAAAGTTTCCTCACAAGAAATATCTAAGCAAAAAATCCACGCAATCTCCTGCTATGAGACGGTACTTTATAGGTTCCATCAGATCTATTTCAGACTTTTTTGCCTCTTTGATAGACTTCCTGGCACTGATATGATTGAAGAAATTTTTATTAGTAACTTTCAAGCTCCTACTTGGTTTTTCCTCTAAAGTGTAAAAACTATGACAGTCATCTAAAAGATGGGCTTTACACGGGCTTGAACTCCCCAGTTGCTTTCCAATAAAGTATTCACTTCAGATCACAGCTTTACCACAAAAGATAAATGGAGGGTGGGCATAGTATGCAGAGCAGTATTCTCAAGACACATTTTTTAGTATGACATGGAAGCATGCAATAAATATTTAAAACAAACAAACAAAATAAAGGCTAACCCAAAGCATTGAATTCTACCTACAGATGCCTCCACTCTAAAGAATGGAGAGACCAGTACAACAAATAACAAGAAGCTGTAAGTTTAAGGAAATATAATCTAATCATTTTTGCTCTAATATTAATAAGAAAACATTGTAATGTTAGGAAGAGTAGGAAGATTATTGTAATCTTACACCTAGAGATGTAATCAAAAACATTTTTATTAAATGGCAAATGCCAATTTTTCCATTCCTATCTTATGCCACCAAAGACTTAAAATTTTAACGTAATTCCCTACTTCACAGGACAGCCAGTCTTATACATCTAAGAAAAAAAACATTTAATTTAAACACTGGTACACTGAAGCTATTGCTACCAGCCATCAAAATCACTAAATCTGAAAAATCCTGTCCAACATTGATTGTAATCTTGGAGGAAGTATTTTCTTCTTCAGAGCTGCTCTTTAAGCTTTTCTCTACAGTCAACCTTTCTTAACCAATTTAAATACATTTTTTTTAAAGCTTGTAAGTCAAACACAGATTAAAAAATGTAACAACTGTTGCTACATTTTCAATGAAAGTATGATAATTAGGTATGAGTCGGTTTTGAAACATTTACATAGGGTAAAGTGACAGGTTTCAGACTCAGCACAGCAACTTCATAGGTAGGTACTATTCTGAAAAAGTTATATGGATTTTCCTTTCTTTGAAAATCACTTAAAATTTTTTTAAAAAATTTATATATTAATAGACCTTAAAATTTCAGGCATTAAGAGAGGTTGGGATGGTTTTTTTCGTCCTGTTTTAAAACAGACATTCATAAGAGACTATAAGCAATTAATACCATTACTCAAAATACTGATTTTCTCTTACATACAAAGCTAAAAATAACAGGCAATTAAGCAGTTGGATATACTTAAGATAATATTAATGTCTCCTTTTCACTTCTGACAGCTATTATTAACAACAGCCAGAGAATTCTAACTTTAATTAGACTTACTCCACTGCAAATAGATAGAAGCCTCTTTTAAGATTATCCACAAAAACAACTTGAACTGAATTACACTAATTTTTTTCTGAAAGATAGTGAAGCTGAGGTACATCCTACTTTGTCAACTAATACATCCTTGTGATTTAAGTATCCAGGACAAATACTAGTCTATATCTGCAACCAAACTGAAGAAGGTATTTTATCACAACCCAAAACTTCAAACAACAATATGTGCCAGTTCATAAAAATAAAAATTTACATTTCACAGTTTGTGTGGTTAATTTAACAGATTTTCAAGAAAATTATTTTGTTTCAGTCAGGAGGTCATGAAGATTTACTTCAATGAAGGTACTTTCTCCATTGCATCAATATGAAATGACTTTAAACACTTTGATTACTAAGAACTACAAATATACTTGGAAAAAAATAAGTAAGATTGTAGAAAATATGACAGGAAGTCTACATATGAAAAGCAAAGGAAGGGGGCAAAGCCCAAGTCTATTGGATGCAACAATGTACCTAACATTTTAGATGAACTGTTCTAATTAGCTCAGAAATCTAACAGTACATTAGAAAATGAAATAAAAATTGAAATATAGAGAAAAACCAATTTTGTAAAACTGCATTGTCTATAGTAAATCAAGGTCGTTCAACACAGTACTAGGAAGGAAAATAATAGCATGTTCCATATCCCATATCTCTTTATGTTCCCTAACCTGCTATGCAAAAAGTGTAATTCACAAATCCTTATCATGACCATGTGTTCATTACACAGCTAAAGCAGCCTCAGTGCTACCTGGCACTAAATAGACCTTCACCTCTCCCTTCCTCCCTGACCTGCTCTTATCCCCTCATCAGCACTCATATTCTTTAATTCTCAAGATGATTGCAGAAAGTTATATAATTCAGTTTAGTTTCCAGCCAGTTTAACTGTGCCCAAGGAAAGCCAATGAGGACCAAAAAGAGAAGAGAGGAATGTATATTTTGGCTGGAAAAGAAAAAGCAAAGCCACCTGTTTTGACAGCAGAAAGCCCTGCTTCAGCTGTGTCATCTAAGTACACTGAAAGGAAACCTTTTTCTGTTTGCTTGTTGTGCATTTAGATGACACAGCTGAATCAAAAGCCCTCACAGGGAATCAAGTACATTAATGAGTAAAACACATGCAGCAATATGCTATTACCCAACTACACTATACAGTTGCTTGTAGATATATGCTCAGCTGCTCATTATTGAGACCTTCTCTCAATGTTACTATGTTCTAAAATATGCCAAAATTACATTGGTGCAATTAGCCAAAATTCACTAACTAAAGAAGTAAATCACCTAATTTTATCAAAGCCTATAGAGAGCACTTATGCCAAGAGATGCCAACAGATCCACTCATACAGTTGATAAGAAATGCCACCAAAAGCTTCCAGTAGGTTAAGCAACTAGGGAAAAACAGTAGGGAATAAACTATAGCATTTGCAAGTCACACACAAACTGCATATCTGAGTAAAGCTTAACTACATTCATTAGGACTTTTATACTGTTCTAACTATTGAAAAATAATTCCTTAAATAGTTTTATAACTCTAAGCCAGAAAAAAAAGTCCACTACAGAGTAAGTCCACTGAACTAAAAACGTAATACTCCAACAAGTCACGCTGAATGATAAAGATTCATTTGTCCAGTAAATAACTAAAATAGATTCAAACATAAAAGGATCAAAAGATAAACAGGAATTTATAGTCCACTGATTCCTATCAATCAATTCTTTCCATTATACAAATTCTACCAACATATTTGCCCTTCTTCATGCTCCCTTATTCCCTAACCTCTCACAAACTAAGTATGAGATGTCCTCTTAACATCCTGCCCTGTTTTCCTTAGTTCTCTTTGGAATGCCTCCATATATCTTGCTTTATGAACCAAACTTACACAGAACAATATATCATGGCAAGCACTGCTAGCTGACAAACAATTCAAATAATTCAGTACTAGTTATTTTCATATGGATTCTCCTACTTGTTTAAAGTGAATAAAAGGATGTAAAATAGTAAGGTTTCTTCATCCAATTAGGCCTGACAACATTATATATTAATAAAGACAACTGCTCAGAGATTGTGAATAATTCATTTGTTCTTAAGTGAGACATACATAAAAACAAATTAACAATTTATAAGTATAATCTGTTCAAGTGCTTCAAAAGCATGCTTTTTAAAGCACTAAAATTCAGGTCTGTATGTTTATTGTCTTTGTTTCCAGGTAATCCACCTGAAGGAACTTTGGATTTTTTTCAAAAACTACAACTCAAAAATATTTAAAGTAATGGAAAAAATTTCTAACTGTTCTCCCACCACAGTCAAAATCAGTCCTGCTTCACAGCACAGAAGTAACCACATCCTCTGTGTGTGGGCTCAACAAAGGTTTCTGCTTAGTTCTGAACCTTTTCCATAGTGCAAAGCAGGAGTCATCAATTTGTAAAACCAAACTCAAATACTGTCTATCTTATTCATTACAGTTCTCCCTCTCTTCAGCTACCCTGCAGAAAGTACAAAAATACTTTCACTGACAACAGACTGGCCCAGCAATAGCAGGAGAGTGGGGCAACATTTTCCTAGAAATTGAAAAGGTGAACAGTGGCTATCTCAAAGCAAGCTAAGATAATGCTGAACAACTTCTATGCCATGCTACAATTATAAATATATATGTACACATATATATATATGTACATCCAGGTGTACATATATTAAGTGTTCAATAATACATGAAAGCAGAATGCAGCAGAGAAAACTGATGGGTAAGTAAAAAGATTCAGGTCACTGAGTAGCTCGTGTGCATTGCAGCTTGTTCAGAGGAACGCTTCTGACATTTTCTGGATTTAGGTAGAGGATGTAATTGACTTATCAGTACTTTCAAGTCTTGAATTCAACAGTTTTGTGTAAGATTTCTTCATTCTTTGCTCACAAAATCACAGAGCTAACAATAATCCATTTAATTACCAAAGAATATTTCATGGAATATTGTTCATGTTTATGATAACTTGAGTCAACTTCCCTATGTCATTAGTATTACTATATTATGGCAATATTAAGAAACAGCACTGAAACATACCTTTGTATATGGAAACTACACTACTAGCAATTTGAATTAAGGAGAAAAAATCAATGTAATTAAATGGAACTTGTGCTACAAAATTTACATGTGACATAAAAACTATTTAAATTGTTTTGAATATTTCTCATAAAATTTTACAAGGGCTAAAAAAAGCCACTTTTTTTTAATATTTTTACAACTTGAAGGAAAACATTAAAATATCAATTATGCTTCATGTCTCTGCTTTTATGCAAATTCAGTTTGTGCTTCATAAAACATTTCAAAAAAAGTGTAACTAAAAATATTTTAACACAATTTTGGGCAAAACCTTTTATTTATTTAAACAAAAAAAAAAAAAAGGCATGAAAACAGTAGACATTTATTACAAACTTTAATGCCAAAATTAAAAGAAAATTTGAAGAGCATACTACAATTGCAAATAAAATCTTTGTGACTCTCTTAAACTGAAGAAACCCCTCATATTCCTGAACCTCAGTCCTGGGAAGTCTTCCAGAATTTCTCTCCTTGTAAATCAGAAGATAGAGAAACTTGAAGGCCCTGGGAGAAGGAGAAGGATCCAGTTATTTGTTCTAGTTCAAAAAAACAATTTGTTACCCTTCAGTTTCAGTTAGTCTCTTCTAAATAACTACAAATACATTACATCTTTTCTACTTTCTCTCCTCAAAACCCCAATGTACAATTCCTATTCATAATTCTGCAAGGACTAGTGAATTGGTGGAACTGAATAATAACTCTCTAAATATTTAGACAGAAGGATAAATTATCTCAAATTAATTTATATACTGTAGCAATCAAGGCTTCAGCTTGGCCCTGTACAGGAAATAATGCATGCTGAACAAAATTTTACCTTATAACCCTGTAAGTATGAAGAAAAGCAGTTCCCTAAAGTCAGTGGGTTAATACTCTTTGCTCTCTGCCTTGCTTTCTCATCATTCAGAAATTCAGTTTTATGTACATTCCAAACCAATCTATTTATCCCACAAAAATTACAACTCTCCTGAAAAAAAAAAAAAAAAAACTCCACTTAACTAACAAATTTTCATATTTGAAACTGAGGAATTACCTCAGATACATCCATGATAAAATGCTCCAAAACTTTACTTCAATTATACAATGAAAATAACCATTTTTGATACATTATTCAAACCATGGGGGGAAAAAAGCCCCAAATTAATATTTAAAAGGGTGAAAAGAAGACAAAAATGAGACTGCATACCAGTTATAAGGACACTAAGACTTCCTGTAACATACGAGAGGGAATGGAAAAAGCAATAAACAAGGGAGTTATAGACAGATCAAGGCATTTTCAGGACCAAAGAACATTTCCTTATTTGTAGTAAAAATAGTCTGGGAATAAAGCCTATCCCATTTCCACTAGGATTTGGGCCTAGATTAATTATTCCATAAAGCCATAGAAGTATCAATTCAAAAAACACTAGGTAACAGAAGTTTCATTTAATGCCACAACTACAAAAGGATTTAAGATGACAAGAAAAAATACTTACAAGGGTAAGATCGCTCTTCTCGAAGTTTTCAGCTCATGAGTTCTTGTAAGTATCATCAACTTGTCTCAGGCTCCTCTATTTCAAGAGGGTTGCACACAATATCTCAATCGCCATTCCAGTCTTCAGCAGCCTCATTTTTCTTGTCATTCTTTATCCAACATAAAATGATCAAGTGCTACAGTAGAATTCATTTTCGGCCCTTGACTTCCTACTAACTGCTGATTTTCCCTTGAGCCAATACTCCTAGGCATCCTAAAATTATTTCATACAGCTATTCCACTTAGCAACAATCTGACATGCATCCATATCATGGTGGTAACTTCTCTGAAATTTTCATCTCTCTGGAAGGTGAGTATATCCAGGTCCTCTTTAGGGTTTTAGATACACACACAAGCCCAGTGAACGATGATGTACTGGAATGTCAGATAAAGTGAAGTGTACGTGAGCGAGAGACCACAAGTAATTGTACAGCACAACTTAACACTAGAGGAACTCAGGGTAAGAGGAAGGTGTACAAAGAGCACATCTGAGGCAACTTGGAATAAAGATGACTTGCAATCCAGTGCAAAATTTCCTTGTCCACATTAAGTCTACAAACAGTGAGCAGTCACATGGTATCTTATCTCACTAACAAAAAACCCTCTGGTGCATCCACAGGGATGAGATTCATTTTGCCACAAATATGCTTTCAGGAAAACTGCCCTGACAATAATTACCATTTGTTCTGACAACACATGTTACAACACTACTATGTCATACAGGAGGTTAGAAGTAAGTCCAGAATAGTTTTCCCACACCTCCAGTGTTTTGATTTCTAAAGGGGCTGTTATAATATGACAAAGTAAGATTAAATACCTCCAGCATTTTTCATGAGGAAGAAAATTTTCTTTAAAACTGTTGAGAATAACACACACAATTATCTGGTATAAGAAACCTAAGGTTTCTTATCATCTTCCTCCTAATTTAGGCCAGAAAATCAAAACTGAAACTACTGTATTCCAGCAGGGGCCAGTATCTTCCCCCTCTGAAATTTTCTTAAATTATGGTTTTCCCTCTCCTGGCTTGGTTTGATAATTAAGTTTTCTCTTGCTGAAATGTTACAGCATTCTGTTTTTATTGCAAACTGGAAACTAATGAGACATTACCAGATTACACTTTCATCACAGTGGAAAGTTTGAAAGTCCTGAACATTTAACACACTCAATTCCTATATTCAATAACTCAATATATTCTAAATGTGTGAATCTATGTGCCAAAATCAGATACCTCAATCCATACTAAACCATCAAAACATCTATGACTTCAGCGCTCATATACACACTCAAAAAACTACTTTATGGCATTCAGATTTGAGAAGTAAATTAGCAATTTCATCCGTGTCATTTTTATCTTCAGAAGTTCCTTAACAGCACTTTTCCAAACAGATTGCTGATGTCTTTAGCAGAGCAAAAAGACTCCCATCACTAGAATAACTATGTCACACACTTGTTATGCAATATTAAGGATTAAGGGCTCTCTCAGTTGTCATAAAGCTAAAATAAACATGGCTTTCCTCCCACCAAAATATCTGACAAAACTGCAAATGTTTTGTCAATTACCAGGATGTACCATCAGATGACCTAATCAGCAAAGATTTATTATTAATGGCATTGTCAATCATAAGAATTTATTTTTAATATTCAATAATTTTTAGGACTTCTCTTAACTACAGAAAGAACTTAAAAGTATTATTACTTCCAACTGTTTAAATTAGGATCCAAGTGACGCAGAACTGCAGCAAAAAAGGTTTCAGTTAAATTAAGTAAAATACAAAAATCAATAGTGAAAAGATTGCAATAAATAAAGCTGTTTACTGTACAAACCAATATTCATGTAAAGCAAAGAAATGAGATCTAGAGTAAAAATCTGAAGTAAATACAGAATGTTACTGAAGTAAATATAAATACACTAACAGTGTAAGCATTTTTTATAGGAAAATTCTGCAATTCTGTGTTCATTTCTATATAAATTACTAAAGCCCAATTGACAGTGTTAGTTTTGAATCCTGTAATTTTGTTATGAGATTTTTGACATACTTCATAAATGCAATGTCCCTATTTCATTTATTCATTCTACCTTGAGTGCATCATTCAGTGTAACTTGAATATATTAGAAAGATTCAAATCAAAAAGCTATTTCAAGAAAAATCTTTGAAAGTTTTTTAATGTCTCTGGGGGAAATAACTGTTTTTAGCACTTAGCCATGACCACCACTATAGTGAAAGAAAAACAAACCTTAATTTTGCTGTTTTTCTTATGATATAGATACTAGTTTTTACATGAGCTTTCAGAATACAGTTTTCTGAGCTTCATACATTTCCCCCAACTATCTTCTAAGGTTGAAGGTTTTCACGTTTTGTCTTTCTTCACCAAACACACAGGAACAGCTATGCTCTCCAATATGACAATCCTGACAAAGTGGCAAATACATTAACAATCATCAGTCTCCAAATGTAAGTTGGTGGTAAAGACAAACTTATTTACCATATTAATTAAATGGCCTATTTAACATGGAATATCAATTCTCTAATCACATCTCATTTGAACTTCTTATTTTAATTAGCAACCCTTAAGTCTACTAGAGACCCTACTGTTCTAGGATCATTAAGAACATTTTCATGTTCTGTCAAATGAGGGAGTAAAAGGCAGAAACTGCAAATACTCTCAGGAGTAGGCCTCTACCCTACTTAGGAGATGATTAGGGAGAAAGCAGCAGTAGTTCTCATTAGTTGCTTAGCAATGAAATGTCCCCCTATGAAACAAGAAATGAATAAAGCAACAGAGGTGTTGCCATGTAAATGAGTAGATGGATAGTCTATCATCCACTCAAGGATAATCAGTCCTTCATTAAAACTAATCAATCTGGATTAATACACCTATGGATGTCTTGCACAGACAAGGTAGGAAGAATCCACTGTAGGTAGCCCCACAGAAGTAGCCAGACAATACATTGCTGAAGTCTACATACACACTAAAAGTTTCACTGTGTGTGTACGATAAACACAAGTACAAGAAAAACAATTTTAATGTAAACCAGATAAACATTATCATTTTTACTGTTAAACCTTTTATATCCATAGTTATACCCAAGTTATTAACAACTTACTGTTAACAGTCAGTCATTTTCTTAATGTTTACAACTTAAATTCAAATTTGTGAATTTAAGATTTAACCCACATCTAAATTGTTTAGTTTTTCAAAAGTATATTCACACATAAAGCCACAAACTAAACACAAATGGGCTCGTTGACACTACCATTATTACCAATCTTGTAAGTCTCAAAAGAGCAGAGTTCTTAACCAGAAAAATTTGATTACTGTTGTCTTAATTTTCAGACCCAAGTTCCAGGATGCCATTATTTCAGCCACGGATGCAGTTTAATAGGTTCCCTTTATTTCAATTTCCCCACAACTGATTTAAAAATATCCATGTTTCATGGGTTACTTTTTTTTGTTTCGGTGGGCTTTTTTCCTGTGGGCCAGGCATTTTTTGTTTCGACGATGTTACCTGGTTTATACATACAATATAAAGTTTTCAAAAAAACCATTAATTAGAAGAGAAAGGGAAAATAAAACAGCTCCCTAAGCAGAAATCAAGCTGATTCCTGAACTTCATCGACTACCCAAAATCTGGTTGCTTCTCAGTATATATTTAAAGCAATACAGATTTATAATTACAAACATTTATGAAAAAAATTAATGTATCAAATTATGCTTTGATTAGCTCATCCAAATTTTTAGATTAAAATGAAAATTATGTTTAAAAACCAATACTAATTCATAATTCAGTATCAAGACAAATCTTACCTATGTATTCACAAACGAAGACTACAAAAAAAGGAGTTACAAGATCATTTATGCCCTGAACATATCCACTGGCTGGATGACGTATTGCCCATATAAACAAAATTCTTTCAAAGATCTGAAAAAGAGTTAAAGAAATCATCAATTTAATTTAACAAGTGATAAGCATATTTTAAACAAGACACTTGTAATTTATAACATGATAGAATTACAGAATATCCTGAGTTAAAAGGGACCCATCAGGACTACCGAATCTAACTCCTGGCCCTGTACAGGACAGCCCAGGAAACACTTCATGCGCCTGAGAGTGTTGTCCAAACACTTTTTGAATTCTGTCAGGATGGTCTTGTGACTATTTCCCTGGGGAGCGTGTTCCAGTGTTAAACCACTCTTGGAGTGAAAAACTTGTTACTTATATCCAACCTAAATATTCCCAACTCAGCTTTATGCCATTTATTTGAGTCTTGTCCCTTGCCATGAGAGTGAAGAAATTGGTACCTGCCCATCTGCTTCCCCTCATAAGGATGTTGAAAACATCCTTGCAGAGAAGCTTAATATCATGGAGTTAAGTAGTATAGAAACCATGCATACAAAAGCATAAATGAACACTGGCATTCATAACCAACTCTCAGTTCTTCAAAAGGAAGCATTTTCAGGGTATTAGCACATGTTAAAACCAGCCTAGTATATAATTCAGTTACAGTAGTTTATACAAAGTAGCTCTTATTCACTGGAGCTTTTCCAGTAATATAAAATGCCTCTTTTCTCAAGGGAAAGAAATATGAAATTATCTTCCCATAATTTTTCATCTCTTTGAAAGAAGTATTCTACTAAATATTCTATTTATCCTTAAGTAACAGAAATAAGGACATGATATAGTTTAGATTTTTTAATAATATGCCCATAAAAAGAGATTCCACAAAAGTTAAGCTGGCCTAATATTCCAGTGTGGAGTTCTACACTCCAGGCTTCTGCATACTAGTTAATGAAAAACCTGAAACAATCGGAAAATGTAGAAATAAGGCAACTGTCTGCCATGTCTGCCATGTGTACCAACAGAACTTCACCCTCTCAACTCTGTAAACTGAATCTTAGGGATCTGTAACTGAGGTTTAGGATCTGCAAAAGCTCATGAGGCCAAACTATATCTTGGCATGAGAAGAGAGCATGGAAATCAGAGAACTTTCTCCTGACTCCATTTAGGTCTGTAACAGACTTTATCTTGTCTCAGTTATTTGCTTCTGAAAATATTATGTGCCTTTGAAAGACTGCAAATAAGCAGCAGAGTGAAAGCGGCTACATGCTTTGTCCTAGCTACAGGCATGTAATCAGGGATATATAATCTTCTGAAACAAAAGAATGTTTGCTCATTCATGAGAGCACAAACCATACTGCTCTTCAGATCTGGCCTCAATACTAAAAGGAGGAGACATTTTGGAAGGACCCAAAGGATTCTGTGGTTTGCTGCAACTCCAGAAGTCAACAAATGCTTTGGCTTCAGAAAAGCCAGTGAAAGACCTGCCCCAAAAGGATGTAAGAGGTGTTTATTTGTGAAGTCAGGATTATTTATACTCAATCTTACTTTAAAATTTTGTTAGATTAATAAACTGTTTTAATTCAATTTTAAATAAAGACTTATTATTTAGTTTTAGTCCTCTTGCAGTCATTTTCAAGTA